AAGCCACAACCAAACAAGGAACAGGAAGTAAAGCAAAGATCATAAATTCTAAGTCTATAACGCCCTAGTCACATGTAACCGGAAGGTATCCATTTAGCAACTATTGCTCCATCAGTAACGACCCTTTTTAGTTCTCCTAGATGTATGTTTTTAGAGGTACAGAATACTCCTATAGTATTCTAATGCTAACGTTATTGTGGTAGTGTTGGTAAGTTTTAGACTTGTTGTAACACCACAACCAAGCTTAGGCACATGCTAGTTACTCCCAGGAAAACGTAGTTGATCAGGCTACATCCCCTAAATCTGACTATATGTCTCTAAGCCCAATTGTGCTATCTAACAATCTTAATACTTTTGTTTTGTTCTAGGATGATACTGACTTCTGCGTTTTATAGTGATGTGTGTATATACATATATATACTTAGTTAAATCCTTCAGATACTTAACAGTATATATTCTTGGTCAGAGTGTTTTAGTCCCGAAGTGTTTATAGTTTGTATATCTTTTATAGGTTGATATACTTGATTCACTATAAACAATGCTCTGATACCAATCTGTCACACCACAAAACCGATAACGGCGGAATACGTTTCGGGGTGGATGACGTAGTGTACGGTATCATCATAATTGCATAATAGTAAAAGCAAGAAACATACAACCATTTCATTTACATAGTGAGTATATTTACAAGTGTGTTTCGTAATGTTCAACAAACACCAAAAGTAAAAAAAAATAAGAGATGGGTCATGCATGCTCCATCTTCTCCAAAAATGTTGCAGTTGTACCTATCTATCTTTGATCTGAAGATACAAGTTACTTTGAAAAGAATATCAGCATAAAGCTGGTGAGTTCATAAGAGTTTAGTGTGAGTTCTTATATATAAAAAGCATTAGAATCATTAGTATGAAAGCTGAAGTTTACAGTCATAAGTAGTAGTAAAACCTAGAAAATCCTATATTTTCCAGAAATGTATAGTAAGTGAAAACCTTTAAGAAATATGATATTTCCATCTTTGAAAACCATTTATCATGGAAGTATAATAGTGACTCACCATTAAGTAAAGCAATATAGTAAGTTATACTTGAAGTAAATAATAGCGGTGCAGCTACCTTTAGTATTAGGTACTTATTTACTTCGGGATATTAACTTTATCTTTTGTTTAGTGTTTTAGTGCGGTTATAGTGTATTTCTTGTATGTTACCAATGGTGTGAGTAATAGCGGACCCCCATGACCTTCCCGGTCATGTATAGTGTAGTGGAGTAAAGGCATCCCTGGACCTGTGCGGCTTGGACTGAAATTATCAGTCGGGATGTAATAGCGTCTGCCCCGTATAGATCTATACATATAGTGTCGTCTTCCTATCAGAAAACTTAGGGCGTAGTGTGTAGCGAATAGAGTATCACGTAGTGGGTAAATGAGTTATCTTATGATTTGTACTTTCTCTTGTATTATAGTGGAGTAGTCCTTTGTATAACTTGTATTGTATTCTCTTATTAGTGTATAGTTTCATAATAGAGAGAATTATAGTAGTGTAGAGTAGTAATTAAAACAAGGGATAGAGACCTTAACTATTCCTATTATAGTTAACTTAGTGTGTGTGGTTCTAGTCAGGTTAGTGATTTAGGCATCTAATGAAATAAGAAGTACTCGTAATCCGTACTAATATACGAGATAGATAACTAAGAAATCAATGACAGTCGGACGGATAACCACTACCCTAAGCCCACTATCAAACATGAACATGAAATAAGGCGAGCTATCGGTCCTAAGTCCTTCAAGTCTTACTTATATATATATATATATATATATATATCAGTGTGGTTACATTTTTATAAGGAGATTTATTAAATAAAAGTATTATACAAAAGAGACATTTAAAAACTTGTTTGTCTGTCCAAAATAGTTTTGAAAACAAATGATTGATTTATAAGGCATAGTGATAAATCACATGTGATTTGAACTACAGGTAGTGAATCACATGTGATTAATTTTGTAACATCATTAGCTGCCTTGTATAACTTTTCATAAACATGTATATTCAACTTGTATCTCCCCCCTAAAACATATAAAACAATTGAAAGGTTCATTAAAGGGATATGAACTCACCTGAATTCGTGTAAATCGGGTGAATCGCGTAAATCGGGTAAAAGTGTCGGTTGAGCGTTTCGTTCCAAATAATGACTTGTACACCTTTTAGGACCCTAATGTCATATGAAAATATGTGTTTTACAAGAAATTAATCATTTTGTGCTTTCCGTTTAAGTATTGAGGCATTCTAGCATCAATTCGGGGTTTTAGGGCCTATAAGGGGTTCCCAGGAGTGGTTTAAGGCTAAGAAAGATTTACGGGAGGGTCCATGAGCTCACTCCCTCAGTGTTTACGGCCCAACGGCCACTCGTTGGGAGTTTACGGCTTTAAGCCCCCTAGGCTTGGCCGTAAACTCATGTGGTCTTCCAAAATGCAAGTTTAAGGCCTTATTTCACTTCCTTGATTTAATGGTATGTGTGTTGAACTAATATGGAGGGATTAAACCCTCATTTTGTGACATTTTGGGGAGTTTACGGCCAAGACTTATGCTTGGGCTGTAAACTCCATTTAATCCCTCAAAATGGATGTTTAAATGGTACAACACACTCCCTTTCACCTTAGATAAATTCTAGAAGGCCTTAGATGGAGTTTTGGGACATTTTGGCATGAAAATTGGGGAGTTTACGGCCCAAGAATATCCTTGGCCGTAAACTCTTCTTTTGGCCTCAATATGAGAAGTTTAATGGTACAACACACATCCTAGGGCCTTAGCTAAATTCCTTACATGCCTTAGATAAGTTTTGGGTATTGTTTGACATAAAATTTGGGTGTTTATGGCCCAAGCTTAGACTTGGCCGTAAACTCCACTTTTGTCCTCAAATGGTGTTGTTTAATGCACTTAAACATTTCCTAGTTCCAAGACTAAATTACTAAACACCTTAGATGAGTTTTTGGGGTTTTTGGGGTGTTTACGGCCTAAGCATAAGCTTGGGCTGTAAACTCCTTTTTAGGCTTCAAACTCTTGTGTTTTAATGTCCAAACTCTCCTAGGTACATCCCTTAATTAGTACATAAATTTAAAGGAAGGAAATATGAGGCTTTTGACAAGTTTTTAGGTGTTTTACGGCCTAAGGGGCTTCTTAGGCCGTAAACTCCTTTTTGGTCCTTGTTTTCTATGATTTTTGGCCTCTAAATACAATGAAGTATGTTTAGAATAAGATAGGGAATGAGTCCTTACGTTTGGATGCTGGAATTTGCGGAATTGGGGTCGATTCCGGGTCTAGAGAGAGAAAGTAGTGAGAGAGAGTGAAGGTGTGGTAAAAGAGTTCAATTGTAGTGTCCATTTGTTTACATATGTCTCGGGTATTGCACCCGATACACGGCTACCCGATGCTAAAGTTTAACGGGGTTCAAACTTTTTACCCGGGTGAAGTGGTTGAAAAAGTAATATAACTCTATTTAGTTAAATGGGGTTAACATTTACAAGTTATAAATACTTATGATAATATCGGAACATATAAATAACCAGATATTTGTTTATTGACGACTCCAAACATTACCGAAAATAACATATAGTGACGCATTCCGTTAGTGAAAATAGGGTTTGTAACGGCAATATATTTGGGGTTGTCACACAGACTTACCAGTGTGCTATCATTAATAAGTGTATCACCTTTCACATTAATATGAAAACCATAGTAATGCTTAGGTTCATTCCTAACTCTTGTGGAACACGTTAGAGGTACAGACTCATCAATTGGATCAACAGGAGTTTCTTTCTCAGGTTGATTTCTAGGGTTTGAGGTTCCTTTACCACTTGACTCTTTATATTTCTTCAAGGTCAATTTGCCTCCTACTGTTTCATTGGCTTATGAACTCTTTCTCTCTCTCTCTCTCTCTCTCTCTCTCTCTCTCTCTCAAGACTCCCCTCCTTGCTATAAAGACCACATTATCCATGGGTCTGTAGAAGAGGTAACCAAAGGATTTATGTGGGTAGCCGATGAAAACACACCTATCACTTTGAGGATCGAGCTTATTGTGAGTCTCGAGCCTCACGAAATCCTCGCAAAACTAAATCTTGATGTGGTCTAGGTTGGGAACTTTTCGAGTCCACATCTCGTGAGGTGTTTTGGCAACCTTCTTTATAGAGACTAGATTAAGGATATGGGCGGCAGTCTCTAAGGCATACCCCCAGAATGAGATTGGCAGCGAAGCTCGACTCATAATTGAACGAACCATGTCCAACAAGGTTCGATTACGCCTCTCAGCTACACCATTAAGCTGCGGTGTTCTTGGAGGTGTCAATTGTGAGACAATTCCATATTCCTTAAGATAATCAAGGAACTCTGTACTAAGATACTCACCACCTCGATCGGATCGAAGCATCTTAATGTTCCTGCCTAACTGATTCTCCACTTCCTTTTTAAACTCCTTTAACTTTTCAAAGGATTCTGACTTATGGTTGATTAAGTAGATATATCCATATCTACTATAATCATCAGTAAAAGTCACATAGAAGTGGTTAGCATCCCTTGTGGTGGTTCTGAAGGGTCCATACACATCTGTGTGTACAAGATCCAACAAACCTTCACCCCTAGAACAAGAACCAGTGAGGGGTGATTTTTTCATACTTCCAATTAAACAAGATTCACAACTATCATCCGACTTTAGGTCAAATGACTCCAAGACTCCATCCTTTTGGATTTGGTCTATGCGTTTCTTTCTTACATGTCCAAGACGATAATGCCATAGTGATGCTTTATCCAAACTTTTTGAAGAATCAATACACAACACATTATTTCATGGGTTATCTACAACCGACACAGTTTTGTATACACCATCACAAGGTAATGCTTTAAAATATAGAACATTATTAAAGAAAGCATTAATACAACCACATTCATTATCAAACGAAAAGGTAAAACCTTATTTGTATAAACCATGAAAGGAAATAATATTTCTCGCCATTTCAGATGAGTAACAACATTTATTCAAATCTAATGTTAAACCACAACTTAGCAACAAAGAATAAACTCCAACTTGGTGACAGGTGAAGCTTTCCTATTCCCCATGATTAAGTTTATCTTCCCATGCTCCACATTCTCACTTTTTCTTAGTCCCTGCAAATAAGAACATATGTGAATACCACAACCTGTATCAAGGACCCAAGAATTAGAATAAGGTGAGTTATTAGACAATATAGTGTAAATACCTACATGGTTGGATTTTACTTTCCCATCCTTAACAACTTGCCGGTACTTTGGTCAGTTTCACTTCCAGTGCGACTTTTCATGGCAATAGAAGCGTTCAGCCTATTTTGGGTCAGAAGAAGGAGTGACTAAACCTCTTTTGGTTCCACTCGGAGAGGAGCCATCAAGGGAGTTTCCCTTGGTACCCTTCGAAGGGGTTTTCCTCTTCTTCCTTCTACTTTTCCCTTGGTACCCTATGAAGGGGTTTTCCTCTTCTTCACATGCTTTCTGGCACGTTTATATGATCTGAATGCATCAAAATATGATCTGAATGCATCAAAATATTACACATTCATGGTTTTGAATTTATTGCTATTGCAGGATATTTGCCAGGACGTTTAAATGATGTGAATGCATCAAAATATGGGAATGAAGAACAACTGAAATCTTTGATCAAAGCTTTAAACAACAAGGGAATCCAAGCCATTGCAGACATAGTTCTAAATCACAGAATAGGGGAAAAGCAAGATGGAAGCGGGAAATACTATATCTTCGAGGGTGGAACTCCATATAAATGCCTTGATTGGGGACCTTCCTTGATTTTCAAAGACGACGACTATTGCGTTGGCAATGGAAATCTCGACACAGGAGGTCCCATTACAGGTTCCCCAGACATCGATCACGTAAACCCTGTAGTCCAACAAGAGTTATCTGATTGGATGAACTGGATGAAGATTGGGGTTTGATGGGTGGCAATTTGATTAAGTAAAAGGGTATTCCTCGAGTTTCACCAAGATCTAGATGCCAACACCTCTCCCGATTTTGGAGTTAGAGAGCCATGGAGCTTGTTGGCTCATGGGTGAGATGGAAAACCTGATTACAATCAAGATAACCATAAAAATGAACTTATGAAGTGGGTAGAAGAAGGTAATACAACAAAATTGGAATTGAAAGAAAGGGGGGGGGGGGAGAGAACGAACTAAGGTTACCTGAAAACGATATTTCAGGCGATCCAGAAGCTAGGGCCGACGCTGCTAACAGTGGTGGAGCAAGACGCGAACCACAACGGGCCATTTTTTCTTGGGCGATTTCTTGAATCGTTGCATTATTATTCGATGATATTTGATTCATTAGAAGCAAGAATGGCAGTCGTCTTTCATTGGAAGTCGATGGCGGTGGGAGACACTCAGAAGCGTCGAAGAAGCAGCAGATGGCGGAAGGTGCAATGGATGTTTGAGAATCGAGAGAGAAGAAAGACAGAAAGGGGGTTTTCGGCAAGGATGAGCTAGGATTTTCAGCCGGTGGAAACAAAGCGGGTTTTTTAAATTTTTTGGATTTCATTTCCCCCTCGGATGAAACGCGTGTTTCATTAAAATTTATAAAGTGACAAGGTTATACGACACATATTTAAGTTAAGGTGCCCTCTGTGTTTTTTATTTTATTTTTTATTAGACACTAATTTTAGGGCACGCAAAAATGCGTGCCCTCTATGCTTCATATTTTGGAAAACTGACATCAACTTTTAGGGCACGCTCAAATGCGTGTTCTCTATCAGCGTGTGCCATTGATTGCGCGTCGTAAAAGACTATTTTTATACTAGTGGGACTCATCGATTCCCCTCATGGACTCGGCAAGTTCACTCAGCATAATGCATAAATCTTGAGTTTTTTCAACAATTTTCATCAAGTATCAAGAAAAAAACCCTAGTCTCTGATATCACTGAAGGGTTTTGAGCATTCTAACACTCCTAAGGTGTACATGCAACCCTAGAAACCCTGGATCAATGTTTTACTAAGATACATGCAAATTTGATTTTCCAAGGTTTTTAACCTATCTAGCATGGCATGGGGAACTTTGAATCATAAAAGCTAGTAGGAGAACATACCTTTCTTGTTGCTTGGATTCTTTGAGAACTTTGTGAGCCTAGCACCTCAAGTGTGATGCCACAAGTGTTTCACACAACACCACAACACTTAGAATAACTTTGAGAGAAGTTCACTATCACTAAAAACTCGGCTAGCTCTCTTGTTCTACACATAGTTCCGATTTTGGTAGCCCATTGGGTCCTTTTATAATGGTGTCACAAGTAGGGTTACACCATGTAAACCCTAATTGACATGGCTTTTCATTTCCATGATCCATGGGTTCATAACCTCCATGGATTAGCCATGGAGCACCTTATGGGTCTTAGCCCAATTCAATAAACCATGGATCATTATCCCACTATACAAGAATGGATGATTTACAAAATTAACACCATATAGTTAATTAGTCTCCTTTTGATCACCAAATTAATTCTAAATTAATTCTCGATCAATACTAATTAAATAATATTATTAATATATTAGAACTTATAATATATTAATAAACCATAAGTGTTCTTCTCTCATTTTATCTATCCAAGTGTTGCAATGCCATGAAACCCAAATGGACCATGCCAACCGGGTCAAGTAGATACCATAAATAGTTATGAACTTAGACACCTAATCCAACAGAAGGGTCCTCAAGCAATGGACACAAAGGAAAGACCAGTTTTGATGCTCCTCCTGCCTCTGATCCAAAGCAAGCTACTTGCTTTTACTGCCATGATAAGGGGAAATGGAAACGAAGCTGCCCCAAATACTTGTAAGACATAAAGGATGGCAAGGTGAAGCCAACCTCGGTAGGTATTTACATTATCTTATCCAAAAACTCATCATGTTCTCATTCTTGGGTCCTTGATATAGGACATGGTTCTCACATTTGTTTTGACTTTCAGGGGCTAAGAATACGTGAGGATGTGGAGCACGGGAAAATGTACCTGATCATGGGCAATAGGAGATCGTCACGTGTTACCAAGATTAGTGTTTATAATTTAATGCTTAGTAGTGGGTTATGTTTGGATTTGAACAATTCTTTCTATTCATCAAAAATGACGATAAACATCATTTCATTTCATGGTTTGTATAGGCAAGGTTTTAGATATTCTTTTAATAATGAGAATGGTTCTATTTATGCTTACAAAAATGGTGTCTTTTATTTTGAAGCATTACCTTGTGATGGCGGGTATGAAACTGTGATGGTTGTAGAAAATTTAGGTAACAATGTATTGCAAATTGATTCATATAATGATTTAGACAAAACATGCTTGTGGCATTGTCATCTTGGACATGTCAACAATAAACGTATTGCCCAACTCCAAAAGGATGGAGTTTTGGAATCATTTTACTTAAAGTAAATTGATACATGAGAGTCTTGTTTACTTGGAAAGATGACTAAATCACCTTTCACTGGTTCTTGTGAAAGAGGTGAAGGATTGTTGGATTTCATACATAGATGTGTGTGGGCTCTTTAGATCCACCACAAGGGATGCAAACCGATTCTATGTGACTTATTGATGATTATAGCATATATGGCTATATCTACTTAATGAAGCATAAGTCAGAAACCTTTGAAAAATTCAAAGAGTTCAAACAAGAGGTTGAGAATCAATTGGGCAGGAAGATCAAGATGCTCAGATATGATAGAGGTGGTGAATATATTAGTATCGAGTTCCACGACTACTTCAAGGAATGTGGAATTTTTTCACAATTAACAACTCCTAGGACACCACAACTTAATGGTGTGGTTGAGATGCGTAATCAAACCTTGTTGGACATGGTTCGTTCCATGATGAGTAGAGCTTCACTTCCAATCTCATTCTAGGGGTATGACTTAGAGACTACCACCCACATTCTTAATCTTGTCCCAACAAAGAAGGTTGCCAAAACACCTCACAAGATGTAGACAAGGAAGGTTCCCTCGTTGGCACATATCAAGGTTTGGGGCTGTTGAGCTTTCGTTAGATGACAGACTCACGACAATATTGAACCTCGAAGTGAGAGATGTATTTTCATCGACTACCCACAAAAGTCCTTTGGATATTTGTTCTATAGACCTAGTGAAAACGTGGTCTTCGTAGCACGAAGGGGAGTCTTTTGCGAGAGCGAGAGCTCATACGAAAAGAGGAGAGTGGGAGTACAATTGATCTTGAAGAGATTCAAGAGTCAAACGATCAAGGAACCTCTAATACTAACGCTTAACCTGATGAAGAAATTCCAGTTGAACCAATTGACGAGTCATTACCTCTTAGATGTTCAAGCAGAGTTAGAATGGCACCAGAGTTTTATGGTTTCCATATTACTACAGATGGTGATACATTTATCAGTGATAGTTGTTGGATAAGGTGTCTAAATCCATAACTTATTTGGTATATACTTGACCCGACCCGGCATGGTCCATTTGGGTTGCATTTCATCCGAACTATTTATGGATAATTTTATGAGAGGTATACACATATGTTTATTAATATATTATAAGTTATAATATATTAATATGTAGTTATGTTATTTAATTAGTTTTAGTCTTAAATTAATTATGAATTAATTTAGAGATTAAAAGGAAGACTAATTAGATTATGGGCTATTGGTTTTATATAGTGTGGGCTAATACTCATTTGTTAATGGGCTAGGCTTATATGGAAGTCCATGGATGATCCATGGAGCTTTCAACCCATGGATCCCTGGAAATGAAAAGACATGGGTTATTAGGGTTTCACCCTAACCATGCACACTATATAAGCATGCTTATGGAGCATGAAATGGAACTAGTGAACTAGTGTGTGTGCTTGTGTGTGGCCAAAAATTGTAGTGTGTATACACTCTCTCAAAGTTTTCCAAGAGTTTGTGGTGATTTGTGATTCCATTTGAGGCATTCACACTATTGGTGCCTGGCCCTCAAACTCCTTAAGAATCAAACTCATAAAAAAGGTATGTAATCTCTTCTAACTCTTTTATGTTTAAAAGTACCCCATGCCATGTTAGATAGGTTATGAACCTTGGAAAATTATTATTTTGCATGTATTTAGACAAACATAGATCCAAGGTTTATTAGGGTTTCATGCACACTTAGGAAGTGTTAGATTGCTCAAAACCCAACAGTGGTATCAGAGCCTAGGCTTGCTTGTTTGATACTTGATGCAAAATAGTGTAAAAAGTCGAAATCTTTGCTGTCTGCATGATGGAATCGCTGAGTCCATGGGGGGACTCGACGAGTCCAAGGAAAAGTTCAACCTACTCGGCGAGTAGATTCGTGGACTCGGCGAGTAGAAGGTTCAGAATGCAAATTTTCGACTTTTGCTGCTGGAAATGGACTAGAAACTTTACCCCAATTTTTTTTGATGTTTTAAAACTTATTTTAGTGGGTGTAATGGTTGTTCTAATCCATTTACAATAGCATATATCAAAATTTCATGCTTTGTATGTGTTCATATAAAGTTTGAAACTTTGATAATCATGTTCATGTTCTTATGAATTTAGAAGATGATAGGAGTTATTTGCTGAATTGTTTAGGATTAATTCTTGATCATTTATGTGTTTTAATGGAGTCCATAATTTGTCCTCAAGTTATGGATATCCAAAGGTCACATTTCTTTAACACACATTAAAAACACATAAGTTACATAAAATGAAGAGTCTTCATTTTATGAACCTTTAATTCATAAGTTATGAAATGAAAAGTTTTGAAGAGTTACAAAACTTGTCCTCAAGTTTTGGAATTTGGAAAAGTTTCAGACACTTTAATAAACTTTAATTCCAACACTTAGAATTTTAAAAGTTCAAATTCAACACTTATACTATTTATAACATTAATGGTTAATTATATATATATATATATATATATATATATATATATATATATATATATATATATATATATATATATATAT